AACCTGGTGAAACGTGGTGTATTCATATATTTCTTTCTTATGTCCATTACAAGATTACAGGACAACCTGGTGAAACGTGGTGTATTTATATATTTCTTTCTTATGTCCATTACAAGATTACAGGACAACCTGGTGAAACGTGGTGTATTTATATATTTATTTCTTATGTCCATTACAAGATTACAGGACAACCTGGTGAAACGTGGTGTATTTATATATTTCTTTCTTCCATTACACTCGAAGTTTATGTCATCTAAATTGTTGATTTAAGCTGACTGAAGGTTTTTGGCTTGTCAGGATGTAACGACAAAAACTGACATATTCAACAAAGGTAGGCTCGGGTACAAGTGATAGAGTTTATCTTCATCAAGATTCTTATGTTAGTTGTGAGAAAACACCAATACCTTATTCCGCCACATTAACATGTTATATCATCCACCAGTAAAAACCCTCTTTATCGCTGCTGCATAGTAGAATAAACATTACTTGTCTTTCTAACGCGAACAGCTGCGACTTGATCTTTTCAACATTTCTTTTTTTTTCCTTTCCCAACGAAGCTTTCAACAGTAAATCTAACGACCATGCCAACACCTTGTTATCAGAGTTTGGAGCTAGCGACCCCAAACGGAGAAATAACTCTACTAGCTATCCTTCATTTCAGAGTTTATGATTTTCCAGCAAACACAGCTGTTCGTTTTTACACAATTTCACATTCACAGGTGACACACATTAGACACGCGTTACTCGTTCTACATCAGCTATAATATAAACTAAAATCTACATTTAACGTTGTGCCTGTTTAGTCTGTATTTCTATGTCTTAGGATCCCGGTTGTCATCTACATCGTTAGCGGTGCCCCCCCCCCCCAGCTGGCCTGTATTGTAAACGTCAGATATGATATAGGGGAATTCGATTTGCTTTACTAGTAGAGTCAGAGGGACGGAAACTTACTTTAGTTGCTTGTTTGTTTGTTTGTTTGTAGTTATGCACAAAGCTACACAATGAGCTATCTGTGCTCTGCCCACCACGGGTATCGAAACCCGGTTTCTAGCGTTTTAAGTCCGTAGACATACCGCTGTGCCACTGACGGGGGCAACTTTAGTCGCAATAACACTAAACCTTCAAAACATCATTGACTAACTTATACAACTCAGTTGGATATGGCTTAGTGGTTAATGTACCTTGACTAAAAATCCGACGGTTTAGGGTTCGCGTCTTGAAGTCGCGGAAACGTGCTCGGCACCTAGGGGGCGTGGCGGTCAAACCCCAGAATGCATGAGTAGCCCACGAGTTGGGGGTGGTGCTGTTAACTATAGCTATCTTCCTTCTTGCCTGTCAGTTCAAATCAAGGGAAGACTACGCGAAGACAGCCCTTACGTAGTCTCGTGAAAGTAATTCTCAAAACCCAAGTTATATAACTATAACATGGGAAATGAAAAAATCTAGAAAAATTCATTTCCTCACTATTTTATTGCGAGTTTGGGTCGCGAAAGCGTTCTGGAATTTATTTATTTTTTCAGTCATATTTGTGTGTTTTTTCATGTCGAATGAAAAGCTACAACAAAATCTCTTCTTCTACTTATGAGGTAAATCGAATAGTTATTTTAGATGTTTTTAAGCGATGCTAAGATATATGTATATTGTACTAAAAACTATCAACATTTCAAATCGAAAATAGTCACACTAGTACAGACACTACACTTGAGTTTGGTTTGTTTTGAATTTCGAGCAAAGCTACACGAGGGCTA